AAGAGAGAGGAAATTAAAAAATACAAAAAAATCTAAAATAATCTCTCAGTGTAGAAAAAAAAACTACCGGAAATAGGAATGTCAATAGGGCAGGTTCGGGGCAGGTATCATGATACCCATACCCGCCTCGTGGCAGGTGAGGTCCAGGATGGGTAATTTATCATGGATCGCGGGTCGGGGCAGGTCGACCCAATTGGTATGCAATTTATATGGAAAACATTAAAAATATTCGTTAATTTCATAATAAGACTAAGAAAATAAACCATATTATGATAAATGTAGTTAAATTATTGGAGAAATTGAGGTTTTCATTAATTTATAACTTTAGGACTTTGCTATGGTGACATGCATGTCACCGTAACTTGCACTTTTAGGTCGACCTAATCTACACTTTTAGGTCGACCTTATATAGAATTAGGTCGCCTAATATGTCGTTTTAGTTTTGTGAGGTTCAACGACGCGGTTGCCTTTTATAGCAAATGGTCGACCTCTTTGGAGCGATGTGGGTGGTTCTTTTGTTTGTACAAATTACGTTTCAAACCAACAGATTCAGTCATAAATAATGATAACAATGACTCATAACTTCATAACATTACAACTAAACAAGCTAACAAGAAATACAATAAAACACAAACCATAATTATTCACAAATAACTAAAATCTAAAATCACATCATATCAAACCACAATCGTTTTTAACACTTAACAATAAAAACACACAATCTAAAATCGGCGAGTTCCTACTCATGTCCCCTCTTTCCCTCATCCATATTTTCTTCATTGATGTTGCTAGCATTATGGTAGTCGGAAGTTATGGTGATATGCATGTATCTTCCACTAAAAGATCAAAACTCCTAAGTAATTTAACTAAAATTACATGAAATTTAGGCAAGAGCGGGTCGAGAATGGGGCGGGTCAGGGCAGGTCGGGTAGATGAGAGTACCCATGCTCGCCCAAAAACAGTTCAAACAGGTCGGGTAAAATGGGTCAGGTCGAAATTGTCATTCCTAACCGAGAAAAAAAGGAACCGTTGAACTTTGAAGGAATGAAATAAAGAAAGATACAATTGCCACGACATCGTTTCAATGTTGGGGTTTGGGAGAGGGTAGAGAGAGGGAATTCTAATGGGAGGAGGAGGAGAGTTAAATGTTGACGTGGAGGCATGTCTGGCAATAGATTTTGAATCCCAGCACAACAGTTTGGGAAAACGCTTAAAGGTATTTTTAGTTAGATTAGATAATAGGGTTAATATCTTATTTTGGCCCGAACTATACCTATATAATCAACTTTGGCCAGTGGTTTTGGAAATTTCCACCCTGACCTCAACTATACATCATATAAACTCAATTGGCCCGACACGTCGTTTGACCGTTAATTTAGACGGTTAATATCGTTGACTGTTAGTCAATGATCCAGTTCACTGTCATGTCAGCACTAAACCAAAAAAAAATCAAAATATATTTTTTATTTTTTTATCTAACTAATAAGATAATAATAATGATAAAAAAATAAAACAATTTAATTTCGGCCCCATCCCCAGCTTATCCCCTCTCCTCTTTCTAAATCGAGGAAGGAGGCGAGGGAGGCGGCGGCCGGGTGAAAGCTTTCTGGGACATCATCTCGCCTCCATCGAATCCAAAGCCTTCCGTTCGCTGCTGCCATTCAGCATCAATCGATGGAGGAGTAGTCCCTTCAGAGGAAGGAGCAATACCCGTGTTGACCTTGGAAGATTTCCTCGACAAAGATTGGTCTTTTCTCGATTCGGAAGATGCACATCAAAACATCATCTGGATAATCACTGCCGGAGGAATCACTGAGACAGCGAAGGTTTTAGTTTCGATGAGTTCAGAATGCTTTCATTGTGATACATCCCCTTGTGTGCTTTTAATATCCCGGAATGCTTTCATTGTGATTTCTTACACATTCGATCTCCTGTTGTTGTGTGTTGGATCTTGGGTAGGTGTGAGAGTGTTGATTAGCCATCCACAAGGGAGGGAAAGCTGGAGCAGCAAATGAGAGAGTATCAAGAGCTCCGTGATCGTTCGATCGAGGTTTGTTGATGGGCCAAGGTTCTATCTTGTTGTTCTACTATTTGCTGGCGCGACGGAGTCGTCGGGAAAGAAGGGGGAAAGAAGAAAAGTTACGGTTCAATTTGGGTTTCCTCGATTTTGAAAGGGACTAGATTTTAGGATAATACTCCTTGTGTTGTTATTATAACAACACTAGTATCCAATCAATAGAAAGTTAGGATTGTGATGACTTTTTATTAGATGAGTTGACTGTAAAATCAAAGCAGAGTATAATTGTCATTATAAAAAATATATTTAAATAATAATAAAAATTAAAATTAAAAAAATACTTTTTTATTTTCGTGCCCAAAATTTTGATCGCCGGAATTCTGTCAACGGTCGCCGGTCACCGGAATATGCTTTTGTCGCCGGAATATGCTATTTTGTCATCGGAATATGCCACCGTCGCCGGAATATGTTCACCGCGGTCGCAATATGCTTACCGACGTCGGAATCTAGTCATCGAGGCCGGAATATGCCTATCGGCGTCGGAATCTGCTGACTAACGGTCACCGGAGTACGGTCAACGGTCAACGACCACCGGATGTATGGTCTACATTGTGAGATTTATGGTTTGGTTTCTCATATTTTCGTATGCCTTTTGTGGTTTGCTTTATCGTGTTTGTGGTTTGCATTCAAAAATTTTGTGGTTTGCATTGGGGGGTTTCTGATTTGTTTTAATATATTTGTGGTCTGCATTAGGACGTTTATGGTTTGCTTTTTTGTGGTTTGATTTACTGTGTTGTGGTTTGCATTAGGAGGTTTCTGGTGTGCTTCGCAAATGTTGTGGTTTGCTTTGTGAGGTTTGTGGTTTGTTTTAGGAGATTTGTGATATGCATACGGAGGTTTCTGGTTTGCTTTATTGTGCTTCTGGTTTGCATTAAGAAGTTTATGGTGTGCTTTCGAAAATTTTATGGTTTATTTTGTGGGGTTTCTGGTTTGTTTTAATATATTTTTGGTCAGCATTATGAGGTTTGTGGTTTGCTTTACCGTGTTTGTGGTTTGCATTATGAGGTTTCTGGTGTGCTTTCGGAATATTTGTGGTATGCTTTGTGAAGTTTCTGGTATGCTTTCGAAATAATTGTGGTATGCTTTGTGAGGTTTGTTATTCTATCCGACGTTCTTACTAGATGAATGGAATTAGTAACAGTAATTAGTAATGTGTATACTTACCAGGTTCGTATACATAATTACATAGTTCTCTCTTAATTAATTATGTTTTACCACATAATTAATTCCTGTCACTCTAATTCGTTTTAAAATAACCAATTCGAAAGGGAGAATGGAATCAAAAAACGATGATGAAGGGAGAGGTGTCCTTTCGAGTGAACTTCTGCATGATCAGTTTCAGCCTGCAGCTCCACATTGTTCCCTGTCACAGACCCATCAAAAATGCAAACTCGCCTCCAACTTCCTTACTAATCTTCGCATTGCTCTGCGTAAAACCTTTCCACCTGTTTTCATCCATCAGTATCTCGTACAAATCCGTCACCCTGCAGCTGAACTTCTCCATCAAGTGTATCCCCGTCTACAAAAATAGAAGGCACCCCATCTACAAAAATTCAATCTATATATACATACCTATCTAATAATCCAATCCTGAAAACCCAGTTTCAATTACAAAAGCACTCTCCTCTCCCTCTTCCTTCTCTCTACCATTACAGCCCAGCAATGGAGAAACAGAGCAAGGCCAAGAAATAGGTGACGCAAGCCGGGTCGCCCGTGATCTGGAACATATTCGGATCCGGGTCGTTTAAATTGGGCCCGTCATCGGCCCCAGGGAGGAAGAGGAGATCGAACAACACTTCCGCCGCCGACAATTTATTTGTCTCCAACGATCTGGGCGGGGAAAGGGGGACGGCGGCGAAAGAATCGGCGCAGCCGCTGACGGACAGAGCGCCGTGTTTGACCCAGATGAGGCGCCGCCATGACGAGATCTACAAAGGAGGACGCCATCGATGGGGGAGAAATGGCTTGGGAGAGGCGCAGCGACAGTGTGGAGAAGGTGAGTTTCGACCGAGAAGAAGAAGGAGAGCCCTGCCTGCGAGTGGCGACCCGGAAGAAGCAGAGCGTCACCTGCGAGTGGTGACCGGGAAGAAGGAAACCTGTGCAGGCTCTGGTCCGAGTCCGACTACAATTTTGATGTCATCATCGGCGATGACCTTCGTACTTCGATCTCTCTCGCGTGTGATGGTGAAGCAGAGATCGACAATGGCAGAGGCGATGCGTGGCTAGCTTTGGACGAGGGAGAATAATCGCGGCAGGAAATCAACGATTATCGTTATCATCGTCACTTGCTCAAACGTTGATGTCGGTGCCAGAGGAAGGTGAGATCTAAGTGAGAATTAGGGTAGGTGAGGGTTTGCGATAATTGATTTAAAGTTTTAATTTTTTTTATGTATGTTTACCGTTTTGTCCTTGTTGTTATACTATCCTGACCCTTTAGAGGGGATAAGTTGGGGATGAGTGGCCAATTTTTTTTTTTTACTTTATTTATTATATTATTAATTAGATAAAGGAAACAATAAAAATTGATTTGTTTTGTTTTGTGCTGACCATCCAAATTGACTACCTAGATCATTGACTAACGGTCACCGTCCAAATTGACAGTCTACAATAGATAATAATACAAACAATGAAAACCTAAATAATATGGATATTGTTCAGGCCAAAATAAGGTATTAACCTAGATAATAATACAAACAACAACGAAAACCTTCACAAATCACAGCCTACAAGTGCGGGCGAGATTATAATTCACAAGCCCTGGCGTTAACAATAACCGCCTCCTCTCCTTTATGCACTTTGATATTTCATTAAAACAGAGGGGCCAACGCAGAAACAAAACTCCCTATTCTCATCATATGTTGCCTCAACAAAATCTCCATACATTCTGATTGATCTGCAGCAAACTCAAATCCCCGGCCTCCATCTATCGAGTCTTAGCAAGGTCTTCAATCGAATGCTCTTGTTCCAAACCAAGGTAACAGTCGGAAACTAGCATCAACTTCGTGCCCTGTTCAGTAATATTCCACTTCAGTTAGCAACCTAAAGCCGCAATTAGCTGGTTAATGCTTCAACAGAAAAGAAAACACTCGGTGTGTTTATTCTAGCTAAAATATAACAAGTAATCTTATAGAAAGAGTTTAAGCAATAGTTTATTAAATTCTTCATCAATTATTCACCCTAAACGCCACATATTCTTTAGATAAAAAAGTCCCATCATTTATTAAATTTCAATCGCCCTTTCCAAAAGGAAAACATTCTTAAAATATATACTCATAATAATTATCTCACAAAACTCGGTCTTTTTCATTGTTATTAAACAGCATTAATTACTTTTTTATTACTTAAAACATCTCATATCAAATTCAGCCAACCTTTTCTCAAACCAACCCAGACATCTTTTTCTCTACTTCTGAAACAGGAAAATGGCACTTATTTTGCGAAACTGATAAACAATTACCCAGTTGATGTAAAAGTAATCCTCTCTGGTCCTTTTCTTAACAAAAAAATCATACCAGAAACAAAACTGGATCTTGTTCAGCAGCAACAAAAGGGCAATTTGCATCCGTGTTTACCTGAATAGAAGTCAAGGATGGTGGCAACTCCATATACGTCGCCAAGCGATCAGTGAAAGAAACTCTCTTCAAAGCATATAGTTCAGAAGTTCTTACGTTGCCAAGAACTAACCACCATGCTTCATCTTTTATCTGTCAAAACCCATAGAAGAAGTTGCATTGCGGCTTCTCTTATAAACCAGCTAATTCAAAATGAAGAATACTCGAGCCTTTTACCTTTGGAAACCTAGGGGCGAAAGCCCTCGAAGAACTTTGCCTGAAGTTGGTCTTCTCCAATCTTATGTTCAGCGCATGAGATGTTCTACCACCAGTATCCTTCTTCTGGAGTCTTAACTTGACTTGAATGCGAGGGAAACGCTGCAGATCCTGTCAAAAGGAAAACACATAGGGCCAGAGAAGCGCGAATCTCAGGCACATTATTCATTTAACTGTAAGCCCATGCCCATCACATGCATCATTATTCAAATTATTCTCTACCCGCCACCTTGAGAACATTCAACCTCTTTCCAGTTGCTAAATCTATACCATATGATTCTCAAGCAATGCTACAACTCTCTGACCTGTTGAGTGGGTAATAGCACTTATCAAGCTACGTCATTCCTTCACAGAGGAATGCTCTACAATTATTACTAAACTATGATGATTAGAAACAATATCATGGCGCTATTCAGCATTCACCATGCAGATTTTACAAAAATATTCAAAATATGTTCTACGAAATGCACCTGGTATAATCTCGAGATAGGGAAACTTCCAATCACAGCCTGCAAGCTCGACTTAGGAAGATCCAAAAGTTGCTGTACAGTGGAAATCCCCTGTCTGCTTAACACAGAGAAAAGATCTGCGTTCATACATGGCAGCATCCACAAGGCAGAATCCCGATCAAACCATAAACCCTGACCAAATGAGAAAAGTCATGAGAAACCCTAACTGTTTTTGTTAAAAGTGAAGAAGATACATATGACCTGGTGGAACCATCATCTAGCTTATTGAGGCTCAATAGCTAAATACATGGCAATTGAATCATGAGCCGAGATCATAAAGGATTCAATCTATAAGACCATGAAATTAAAAAGAATCTTCTCCATATAAAAAAAGACAGGTGGCTGCTCTACTTCAAGCTCAACTGTCACTTCCATGAAAGAGAAGCGCAAGCGCTTGCTACTAGCATATTAATATCTAAGTGGCTCATCTTCGGTAATATGAAATCCAGAAGGTAGAGTAGAAGAAATGCCTGTCAGAGAATACCTGCATCACCATTTGCAAAAGATGCATGCAAGTTATGGAGCTTGACAGCCATCCACTGTTGGCACATATATCTATCATAGCTTGGATGACCCGTATACTTTGGTCCAACACCGACTTTAAGTCGGTAAGATAATCACTAATCGGTAAGTCTAGCTGAGAAAAATGTGCCTGTTAACACAAAATGATATGATAAGAGACATAGGAAAATGAAATGTGAACAAAAGAAAAAGATCAGTAGAATATGTAGGTCAACCATGCTATTCCCTCACCAAAACGTCTTAAATCTTAAAACGTATTATTAAAGGGGTTTTTGTTTGGAACCCCTGCTGCGTACTCCTTACTAAGATTTTATGCAGCCACGTCAGTCTCTCTATTTCCCCCAACTCTAACGCTCCATTTTCTTTTCCTCTCTGTCCCCCGACCCCCGCTATTCCACCATGGCGAAAATAAGCCCAACTACTCCTCCATTGCTACCGCTTCTTCCCATCTTACTCACGACACATCTCAACGCCGATTCTGCACCATCATTTCAACCCTGCTGGCAATTTAATTTGCCATTCAATGCCTCGATTCTTCGCCTAAGGCTTGCTTCTCTGCCTCTGTTACCCTCCCCTGAATCATTTTCCCTTATAATCAAATTTCAATTTCCCATAGGTTTGCCCCAACCACTCTAAAATCTCAATCACTACTAGCGAAAGTTCTTATCAGCTACAACCTCTATTAAGCGACACAAACAGAGGTAGGCTGGGATTTCACGCGAACACAATAATCCATGGTGAATTAATCCCAGCCAAAGGCCGGGGCACAAAGCTAGTACCTGAAAGAGTAGATTTGCTTTGACGTGAGGATCATCAAGAGAATTCTTGTCCACCAGATACGGCACTCTCTCTGATAGTGCCTCATTATATTTTTCCTATTGAAGGAAAAATCACACGAGGGAGAGACTTTTCATGAGTGTGCTCCAAAGAATCAAGATTTGCCAAACACAAAGGAAATAAACAAGCCAGTCAGTATATTAATCGGGGCACATCGTAACAGTTTTCAATCCGTGGTGCCCACCAGAACACCCAGAGCATCTAGAACTTAAGAACATGCCATGGCACATCAGCAATCATAAAGTGCTAATAGGAAAGATCCCCGACAACCATTGCAATTCAATAACTGAAATGTCAGACACAAGACCTCTTGCATTTAAGTGATAAACAAAAGATAAAAAGTTATTCCCACCAAGAAATATGAGGCAGAAAAATTGGGCTTAAAGATTTAAGTCAGATCCTCATTTGATTGGAATGTTTCCATGACTTTTCACTTCCACCTATTTTCCGCATTATCTTTCTAATTTAGTCCGTCCACCTTTTGATGTCTTTCAGAATCAGGCATGCAAGAGAAAGACTCTTTACCATGCTACATGACAAAGTAAACAACCACAGAAAGTTCAGTTCTGTCCAAGGCAGCGATAACAATGCAATAAAAATCAAGCCTCCAACTATACTCTGTTTGATGAGAATAAATCAGCATACACAAAGAAATGTACCTCATTATGCCGCACTGGGAGCTCGTCGTATTCTGCGGCACCAGATAGAATGTGCAGAAACACCTACAGTAACTACCATTCCTTAGTAGACTGATCTTAACTGAAAAAAAAGTCTTATCATTATTCGTTCCGCATCTTACCTCCAGAGATGTATCGGGCCCTATATTTGACCCAAACATAGACACAGTCATATAGCTGAGATAATACTGTGATGCAATCATACCCAACATTGTGGACGCCACATTGTCTTCATCCATCTTGATACATCCACCGTCTTCCAAGTCCTCAAATGTGTTCTGCACTAATCTGACAAACCAGAAACATAAATCATAAACCAGGGCACACACAACAGCCATATGGCCTGCTTGTTGTGAGTCATGTAGGAGTATCATCTCTATCTAATTCGAGTTCTTTTCATTGGGATGCATACATCTCTGGTGGCAAATATGTTATACCATCGTCAAGAATAAAGTTATGTTCACTTTCTCCCCTCAGTTTACCACGTGTACTATTACTTCATAAGCCCTTGCAGCACAATATACTTTTCAACAGCTCTATCTCATGCTTGATTCTGACGAACAAGATGAAAATCATTGTGTAGCAGACTAGCAGGCCTATCATAACACAAATGATATTAAAACAATCACCTTGATAAATACGAACTCAACATCTCTGGTTCCGGGCTCTCTAAACCATAGTAGGCTGGATTGACCATCTACAACCAAAATTTGTTAGCCTTTCTCATATTTCACAGTTTCCAACTCAACATTGTGCGAACGCTACAGCATGCTAAACAGAAAATATGTAAGTGTGTGACAGTATATAAGCATTATATTCCATATACATCATACAGTGTAAACTCAGACACCCCCTACATCAACCAAAGATAACGTGGAGAACTGTGACCGAGTAAATGACCAAAAATTGTTCTCTAGGACAGAAACAAAGAAAAAGGCAGGTATTCACTGTGCATGTCTAGCTTGATCTGCCTTTTCCATGACCAATGAACTGGAAGTCAAGTAAGGGATGGTTAACTGGTTATTTTTCCTTAGGTGATTATTGGTGCCAATGTCCAAGGTTCCGACGAAAGGTGGTCTGGATGTTTCATCCCCATTACCATTTACCACTCGTCAACTTCTTGGGATACAATTAGCACATTGTTAGGAAGAAGAAAAGATTATCATCATACACAAAAAAATACAACCACAATGATATCAATGAGAGAAAGCTCTAAAGAGCAAATGAGTGGTAATTATCGACAGGCAAAATACTAACTTCTTATAATTGAAGTTGGAAGGGAATTGAATGGAAATCCTATAACTAAGTAAGCCCAAGGAAATGAAACTGGCATGAGACTCCTAATTTATTCCTTGATCTAATACCGTCTTTTCTGGAATCCATGGAAACAAAGATAAACACATAACCAGACATATATATGGTTGGTTTTTAGGGGGTGCAAGTTTGAGGGGTGTAAATTGATGAGGGAGAGCAAATTTTAGGAGGGTGTAAGTTGGACTGGTAAATTGTTGTTTGGGAAGAAAAAGGGAGGCGTGAAAGTAGGGTGCAAACTTTAGTAATAGTAATAAAACAATAATAGATGGCCTTTGATGATTGATTAATATGGATCTTGAGTAATTAAAAGAAAAGAAATAAGAATCAAAAGTGGGTCATTTCATTTGCACCCCAATTTGTGGGTCACCCAAAATATTGGTTTCAACCCGCAATTGCTCCCCCTAATGTTCATGACAAACCAAATGGGTGCAACTTCCTAGGGTTCTGAGCTTCCCCCTCCCTTTTTGCTCTCCCTCACTTTGCAACCCTTCCCAAACATAGTCTAGGGTTCAAACATATTATTGTCAAATATAAGCCATAGAAGTTGCAACCAGAAAATGCATACCAAAATGCGTAAAGTATACCATGGAAAACTTAAATATACTTATCATAGTAACAAATTCCATTATTTGAGCCCATACTCCATTTTTGCTCCCAATTACACTACATATTGAGAGCTTGAGACTTACTAGTCGGCGGAATAAATAAGTCCAGGTCAAATAATGAACAGCATCCTCTTTGTGACAAATTGTGCCCGTCGCTATTTCAGCGTTAAAGTGTACATGCAACTGCTCCCTCAGACTACTCTCAACTGGAAATGGTTCATAGAGAAACTGCAAGCAGGGAACCCTAGAATTAATTTGATTTGTTATTCATTAGCCATTACACTAAAACGAACAAAGAGAAAACTTCCGCACCTTTTTATAAAAGCTCTTTTTAGGTTCATGAACTAGGATGACTGCCTTTCCATGTTGATCAAACTGTGGGCGACCAGCACGACCCATCATTTGCAGGATATCTGTGATTGGGAAGTCTACATATCTCTTTGATTTTCCATCATAATATTCTGTTCCCTGCAACATATAAGGTAAGTCATGGAGATGTCCTAACCGAATAGAGTCTAGAAAAGGCAGCTTACAAGTTAAGCTTAATAATGAAAGAGTTAATTTCTAACATAGTTATCAGCACTAGTGAAACAACCAGAACCATCTCAGAAAGATGTTTCTAAGATTGATCCCATATTTCAAGACATCAAACTCATCCCCTGAAAAGAGATGATATTTTGCTTGGGTCCATTGTCCTAATGCATATTGTTTACAATATTGTGCCATCAATATTACCTTGATAATAACCAGATGAGCTGGAAGATTTACTCCCCATGCTAATGTACTAGTGCACACCAATACCTGCAACTCAACGTGTCGGAGACATCATCAAGAAATAACCTTTCCCAGGATGGACAAATGAAGGAGTATATCATTCAAACAACAAAGAATTACCTGGATCTTATTGTTTGCAAAAAGTTCCTCAACCAGAGATCTGTCTTTTTCATTTAGCCCTGCATGATGTAGACCTATGCCAAACTGCAACGTATGCCTCAGATTCTGGTCCATAACCTGAGAAAGAACCATTTGCAGATCTTCTTCTGCCATACTCAGAAACTGTATTGGGTGTTCATCAGAAGCTGCAAACTGTATACAAAACAGAGGAGATTAAACAGGTCATTCTATGGAGAACAAGTTATATGCAATGAATGAAAAAGCAGCTCACCTGGATAAGGTCAAGTGCAGTGAGCCTTGTTTGACGACGAGAAGATACAAATATGAGGACTGGTTTGGTGGATGAATGTGTGCATATTGCAGCATAGGCTGGTTTATTCATGCTGTTCATTCTTGGACAGTAGTACTTTCCAGGGTATCCCTGTTCATTATTTAATAGGGTCAAGCCATAAAATCCAAAATGGAGATGCTTTTCCAAATCGACAAGAGAACACAGATGACAATTTTGAGTACATCCAGTCAAGAAATCGTGTTTGGAACCATAGAAATTTAAAAATCTGCAAGAAATACAGAAGTTACTCTCATTGCAGAGGGGGAGGGGGGATCCGAGGGAAATAAAGTGGTAAAATTCTGCACATTCACTGGCAGAAGCAGCAACATTATGTAATGGCTGGATGAAAATGTAATTGTGAAATCTGCAATAGAATGAAATTATGCAATTGCACTATTTGCTGGTGGTTGGTGAAGAAGAATGACAAACTTTGTTTGTGTTAGTAACAACTACTTGCCTGGATATGTACTTCAAGGGGCACGGGCCTCACACTTGGTTTGAAATTGAAGAGTCCAATCTCGCCAACGCCCAACCAATCAGCCAAATCACTAAATACAAAGAAAATCTTAAAAAATCAAGTAAACAACATACTTATATACTCATTATAAACACTAAATACCCATTTATGCATGTCATTAGTTTGGGCTACCCAGAAAATTTCAGAAAGAAGAATAATACTAGAATGATCAAATATATATAAAACTGAACTTAGCAACATTCTCCATGTTATGCAGGGAAGTAAATATGACATAAAAAAGGACATAGCAATGTTTTTTTAAGGTTAAGGAAACACTGGATCTGGAAAGTGTGGTCTCACAATTTCTCCGGTCTATGGAGATAGAACCAACTACAGCATGCTAAAAATGCCTCAAGCTGGATAGTTTATCAATCTAGGGATCTTCAACCGCATCCAGCAGCATAATATTAAAACAATAACATTATGATACAAACCTTGCATTTGCTAATGCTGTAGACAGCCCTACAAAACGCACATCCCTCTCTGTTTGTGACGATATATACCTCATTCTTGAGACTATAACCTGTAAACATGAAACCAGTATTATAACATGACTCATACAATCAATAGTAAAATAAGAGAAGAGAAGAGGAAACCGATAGTAGTAATAATAATAATAATAATAATAATAATAATAATAATAATAATAATAATAATAATAATAATAATAGTGACTAGTTCGGTGCACTCACAAAAATGAGTGCATTCAATACACCCAACTCAAAAACTAGTCTTAAGGTGTCGGATTTTGAATTTTAATTTGTAGAATTAGTGTAATATGATGATATAACATATGATAACAACTAATTAGTGGATTACCCTAAGTCCTAGACCTCCAATTTTGAGTCATATTCCTAAACCCCATATTGTAAACCCTAACACTAACCCTAGATCTCTAAACTCTAAATCTTTCAAATTAAAGTAAATCTTCAATGAATTTTGTGCAAATTCATGTGCGTTATTGTTCATCACATCATAAGTGATGATTGACATCATTTTGACATAAATCGCATGTTTAAAATGGCGGTTTCAAAGTGAGTGCACTGAATGCAGCCAAAAAAGTGAGTGCACCGAAGACGCCACCTACTAATAATAATAGTAGGAGACAGTTCAAAAAACTGTAGTATTTCGCAAACTGCACCCACAAGAAGAAAAAGAGGTTGGTTGGTTGGATGCAACCAGCTCTTGCATCCCACAATAGCATGTTATTGTCAGTGGCACTGGGTCTTTGGTAACTGATCAGTTGCATTTTGGTGTAATTTCAGTTGCACTTTGCTCTTTAGCTCCAATACAACTCTTTTTTGTTAGTCACAGGCGTAAGATCTAAAAAATGATTTTACAAATACATCTGATCCAGGAATCATCCTTGGAAACTCCCAAAGTAAACAATCTCATAATAAGATTTACCCTCTACTCTTAATTCTATTTCAAAAATGAGTAATCCACTTTCTTCCTCCATGCACCAGCTTAAATTAAAAGGGCATATAAGCTCAACAGCGAATGACACTCCAACAATAAAAAGGTATCTCTGCAGTGCAAATTCATCTAAATTTAAGCAAACAACAAGCAGAGAATTACTCAGTTATACCTCAAGGATGGGTCCACGATCAGCGCCCAGCAGGTGAATCTCATCCAGAATCATAAGTCCTACCTATTGTCGAATGTTTATCAATTAAATGAATACGGAAGACTAAAATGTCAACGCAAAGCAATCGCCAAACATTCAGGAACAAAACAAACCTTGGTCACATAGCTTCGAGTCTGCCAGTTACGACTAATACCATCCCACTTTTCAGGAGTAGATATGATAATATCTGCTGACAAGAGGGCCATCAAATCTGGAGTGTAGTCTCCAGTCATTTCAACCTGAAAATGCTCATCAATGTCAACTGCATATGTTCAGCCAACAAGCTTTTCCCTCAAGCACTTTACATGTGTTGACACTAGCACACAGCCTGCATGCACACAATTACTTCACATATATATTTGGTTGGAAGAGTTGTTACCATCCTTTTCCCTAGCTGAGAGACAAGACCCTTTTGCCAATCCTGCATTCTTTCCCTGACGATAGCCTTTAGTGGTGCTATGTAAATCACCTGCATCCAAAACTAATGGATTAGTAAAGTAGTTACTTATCAATGTGGGAAACTTAGAAAGAATTTGTAGCACAACAAAAGTGGCAACTGATTAACAGAAGAAGTAACGAAATGTGAACATCATGATATGAATCATTCTTTTGTGTGACGATAGTATTCAAGATTCTATGCTACATGCATAGAAAACGGGATGTTTTGGGTTTCTTGGTATATTCGTTCACAACGCCTTCATTTGTCTGACGATAGTATTAAAGATTATTTACCTTACGCAAGAATTTCTAAGCAGGAACTATCATACACCATGATTCATGAACCATAGAATAAATAAGCAAAGCCTGCTTGAAGCATTTTGTTTGATGGTACATATGAAAATTACAATATATACCTTCATATCAGGCTGAGTACTAAAAAGTCTAAGCATAGCAAGCTCAGCAGAAATAGTTTTCCCACTACCGGTTGGAGCTCCTAGAAGAACATTGTTGTCTGAGTGGTAGAGAACATGAAAAATCTGCAAAGCCGAAACAAAATTACCAAATCCACGTAGAAAAAATAGGATGATGTATATCGCAAAAATAATGACAGATAAAAACGATTTCAGAGCCACACCTGTGTCTGTATGGGATTAAAATGTGAAAATTTGTATAGGGCTTGGTAGGTATCGTTCCCCAGAGAAGTCACTGGAAGAGGTTTCAAATCTAGAAGTTCTGTGTGTGACGTGCGAGCCTGAACAAAATTTATTCATGAAAGTTTCAAACAACAAACAACAGAAAAGATACTGTAAACCTGCCCAACAAGACCCTTAAATATTCGTCACGTTATAAAGAACTAAAAAAAGGTACCTCTGGCAATTGTAGATTCTTGAAAGTCACAGTGTAAAAACCTTCAGCATGCAACCACGAATCCGAGACAGCACGTATGTAGTACTGTGGTGGATGTGGTTCAAAAATTGGGACCGTGAATGAAAGCTTCTGAGGTTCTCCACGAGCCATTCGCTTTGTTAGTGTGAAAAGTTCCGAATGATAGATGTGATCATTCTCAGAATCCTGTATAATTTATTTATTAAACTCCATTAGGATAGAGGAAATTATTCGACTTGACCAGACTGGAATGAAGAATGCATGAATCCAGCCACGGCCCACAAACAGTACTAGTAGAAAGTCAACAGCAAGGATTCAGGATTAAATTAAAACAAGCATTCCAAGCACATGAAATCCTGAAATCAATTACTTGAAAGGATTTACGGAAATTTCACTAATCAGAGTGGTGAACAAAGCAGCAACCGGAAGGAACTAACAAATGGGTACTAGAGCTTTCACATATATAGAGACGCATGTACACCCAGCCCAAGACAAATTCAAACACTATCTTGTATCGAAACAGAGCTCAAACCAGTAGCTCCATTTGTCCCGAACAGCACATGACTGGTAAGTGGGAATCAATCAGACACATGGACCCAGTATATCGCTATAAATGATTCCTAATTGATATAAGTAATAAGAGTAGTTTCCCAGACCAGCACCTCAACAAGAATCCACCAACGTAGTGCAGTACCATGAAACAGGTCTTTCCATATGAAGTCAGGAGTAACAAGCAAATCCACCTAAAAATTACTGAATGCTGTCAGAAGGTGGCTAATTATCTGGATTGTTAAAATATTAGGATTCGAAGTTCCAAAGCTCTCAAATAATACGCGTACAAACCTTCAAGACAGTTCTGGTGATTGGACTAACAGTAGCTGATAGTTGGATTTGGGGGAAGTATCCCATGTGTCGCTTGACCAACTGTCCATTCAAGTACCAAGAACCAGTTCAGGAAAAGGAAAGTGAGGAACAAAACAAAGAAATCAAAACTATATGAGCCAAATTATAGAAACCTAAAAATGCCACCATTGGTAGAAAGTGTACCGTTCCACCATGTGCATAACGAATGAGTGCTCCAATGTCTTTTTCATCCATTTCCCACAGATGATCCAAATCAACCCCGCGTTCTTCAAGTTTCCGGATTATCTACAGTAGTCAACATACATTAAAACAGTCCTACCAAAAGTACCATTTCATAAGGACTAAGAGAACACAAGACAAACTTCAGCTGAAAGATGCTTGTCAAATTGTCTCAAAGGATGTTGGTAAGGCCAGATTTGCCGATCCACAGCTTTGCAGTACTCTAGCATGAATAAAGTCATCTCACACCAGCCTTTACGTAAACAGATCTCAAATAATGCTCGCATAATACGAGCCAAGCTTGCACTAATATATGCAGCATCCGACACCAGAGAAAAAGTATCAATTGAACCCCGCGATATATATAACTGCAAGTACACATGGGCATCATGTTAAACGTAAGAAAGTACCAATGTTCTTACTGTGGCAGATCAATTGCTGAGAAAATGTCAGTAACCTGGATGAGTATTGAAATCTTTCCATGTTTGTTTGAGGGACCACCCCTAGCTTCCAAAGGGCATGACGTGCGCAGCAGCATCTCTAACTCATTCTGCTCCTCCTCGCGCACAACGATATTCTCAAACTCGGAAGAATGAGCAACCATTTCAATTACCTACATTAGCAGAAGATGGCATAACGTCGTAACTATAAAGACAATGGCACATGTGAGAGATAATAGAGTGGCAAGTCAATGAAAACAAGCAAGTTGATCTGGTTCCTTGCGAAGCTGGGAAAAAGAATGGTTGACAACCTCACTATCGTTCATGTGGCGTCTTAACATTTCATTGTAAGTTTCCACACTAGAATACTGGATATAGAAGTGGCTAGCAATACGGCCTAGTTCTGTACAGTAGAAGTTGCCACTTTTTTCATCAAATCTCATCATCTTAGCCTTGTCGAGTGCACGTGCAGCATCTGTTATAAGCGCCCTTTGCTTTAAACCCAAAGTAGGATCAGCAATAACCTGCAAGACCGTTATGGTCACAGAGAAACATAGTTGGCCAACCAAACCACAGAAACAAATGACTAGTTGTCAAACTGAAAAATCTCAGAAAGGCTGGAAACATGGATGTTTCAACTCATGTAAGTTTTGAGATGCCTCATGATATTGTGTTAGAAACCAAAGAGGACAAGTGGATAATAAATAATAACCAACATAAAAATGTGGATTGATAAAAAAAGCAGGCTCCAAGAAGCAAAGTGAAGTGAAATATGAAATAAGTTCACCAAACTCTGGCAGAGACATATATAGTGTGGCATGGACATAAATATATACATGATAACTATATTACATTCTAAAAAGGGTATTATATAACCAGTCAATAATTACTAAATTTATCAAAATGTAGGGATTTTGGATTGGAAGTTGTAGACAATTTTGCGATAAATTTATATTATTCTCTTGTTTATCATAATATAAAGATTGAGATTATGTTTTGACAAATCAAATGATTAAAATAATTAGCATGAATGATATTTTAGTGCATATCCTCACTCTGTGGGTATGTTATGAACTCTCTCTTATAAAGTTTGTTAGTATTTGATATGTGAAAAAATAAGAACCTCAACCCTCAATTATACTAAAGTATATTTACACAAAAAAAAAAATCATGAACTATATACTTAGTTACTTGTAGTCCAATAATTTCAATAAATGCTGCCATTCGTGGCACTAAATGACAATTGCGTACAAAATGTTAGGAATGAAAATGCTTCAACTTATTGCATTTTTAGTCTTCATCATTATAGTAGACCAAATGTAGAGATTAACAATAAAAATCTGAAACAATCAAGATAATGTAACTAGAGTGTATACATTGTTTTTAGAGTGTGTATGAATGGCATCTGTTACTACAACCACATGCTTAAATAATTTTCGGAACAATATGGTGTGAACAGCACACTTCATACTTCCGCCACAACATCAAGGAATATAATTCCTGGCTGAAAATAAAAATGCACATTCCACAGCAGAAACCACAATTGCAAATGGATGAATCAACGAACTCAACTAGGTGAATGATGCAATGACTACCTATTCTGAATTTCAAATAAGATACAACTTACCTCATCCCATCCGATACCATAAGCCAAAGGATTTTGCCGCATTCTAATGAATAGATAGGTATAACCAAGCCACGCACAAGCTTCCTTGACATTTGTTACTGTACCCAAAGCCACCTCAGCATTCAAGTTGTCCTTCAAAGAGCTGATAAACTGAACATCCGAAAGAAACAGTGCCGAGATTTAAAAGTGAAATGATCGAAGAAATCACCATACAGAAATCTAATTCCAAACACCATGAGCAACCCATCGTTAGTACCAGTGGGCTTTAATCAAAATGGATATGTCAGATGGTACAATGCACAGTAAACAGCCCATGAAGGATTTCCTATCTTAATCCGAATGCCATTTGATGCATGCTGACAATAAAAGGAAAAATAACAGGGAAGAAAAATGCTTTCGTCTGGAGCAACTTCAACACTTATACAAGTTCATGCCCATGACCACTGAAATTTTTCCTAGACCTAGGACATGCAATTTAGTCGTTTATATGAAATTCCAAAAGATATTTCCTGTCTCTTAGATGATTCAAAAATATATACGACTGATACAATGGGCAGTAATATGATCAGATCCAACTTAGGAAGGAATCCCTGCCTCAGATGTCACATCTCTGTTATGACATTGCATTCCCTTGACGGTCCTGCCCAATTAGACTCTGACCGCGTTAGCGTAATTAAGAAAGATTATTCCATTAAGAACGCATCATTCCCATAACAAGAGACTTCAGGCACCCCTGGTTATTCAAGATACAAGATACCGCTCATTGTGGCAAATAAATACGGTCTAGACTAATGTACACAACACCAAAATGCTAAACAACATCTAGAATCAACGTAAATTTAATTAATGACTGATATGAAAGTGCATGATCACCTCAAGATATGTACCTGACTTTCAATTGGAAGTTGACTTGTCAGCAACCTCAGATAGTATGCCAATTTGTCATGGGACGTGATTATAATACCTTCACCACTCGTGTCAAACTGGGGTCTTCCAGCCCTTCCAAAGATCTATGATAGAACAAGAACAATAGGTATGTCCAAACAAAAATAAAAACAGTAGCCTGTGTGAAGAGAAATATAGAGTTACAAACCTGCATGACATCAAGCATTCCAAGGTCCTTCCACCCACCAGCTTTAGGATCATATAACTGAGTCCCCTGAACTCACAAGCACAACACATCAAATTGAAAGGAAAAAGTAGGATAATAGATGGCTGTTTCGTTTTGGAAATGTAGGATGCATGACATGCAAATCTCTAGTTGTTTAGATTGGCATTTATGTGACATCAATTGTGAGCATATTAAAATACACTTTGTAATATGGCTAACTACATTTTTGGGTTTACACAAATTTGTAAAGCTAAAATAGCAAGCGGGTAATCGAAACCCAGCCATGGAAATGTGGAATCCTAGCCTCGCCTTCATGGAATATAGATTCTATATTCCCATGAAATGTGAATGTCATCATGCCAACATGCCTTCCTCAGAAAAGGAAAACAAACTAAGAAATAACAGAATCTCCCACATTTCATCGAATGATTGGATTTAAATCAAATTTCATGGTCACAATCTATCAAACACCCCCTAGGAATTTTTAGCTAATAAGCTGAAAACTCTATTGCATCTTCGCAATCATCAACAAAGGCAGATCGTCCCAAAACAATGTCTTCATCACCTTAAGCAAGCAAGGTTATAATAATTTTGTGAAAAGAAACTAGATTTGCTGTCAATAATTTCATTAGGTATTTTAAAGCATTCAACTAAAAATGTGCTAACATGATAACACAAACTGTCTAAACTAAATTGTAAACCAAGGAGACACCGATTCTCTAAAACGACAGTAACATGAGATTGACCCAAAAATAAGGCAGCATATTCCATTGAACTTGATTCCAACTTTTGGAGTTTTACCTACTTGGAAGTTATTTACTTATTTTTTAAGGATCTCAAGGCAGCTTACATTATCAGATAATATCACAAACCTTGATTACAACAGTGTGGGCAGGTAGATTCACTCCCCATGCCAAAGTTGCCGTACAAACAAGTACCTGGAATCAAATGCTTGTCAGCATGATAAGTTGGCTAACGTAGAAAAACTAAGTCGAATAAGGTATACCTTCAAAAGTCCATCAGAGAATAGCCGCTCAGTCAAGCCTCTATCAGCACGTAACATCCCTGCATGATGAACACCGATTGCATTCTCAAAGAGTTGGACCAGATCTTTGTTTCTGGACTTGGAGACATCTTTCTGCAATGTGAAAATTCGGGGGAAGGCAACTAAAACTTTAAGAGACATCCCAATGTTAATTGTGCCACTGGTGTTAACAGAAGCCATTGTTCGTTTTGTAGTTTAAATGTCTTATACAGGAAAAAGAATAGAGCTGCCACTCACCTTAATCAATGCAAACTGCGGATGGGTATCATTGCTAAAGAGCTCCAAATCGTCATATTTTGTAGCAAGTTCAACCTGTATATAATAGGTCAAATGACTAAAACCAAAAATGCCAGTGGCAGAAAAGAAAGGACCTCCTTTCACTCCCGCGAATCAGTCATTGCAAATATGATGCATATGCATGGCTAACGTAGAGGAACCGTGAACTTGTAGTCAGTCTGAAAAGATGGTGTCTAACATAAAGGACTTGATTTAGCTCAATTCACCATTTACTGTTGAGTAAAGGGGGATGTAATTTACATATCATTTGTACATGAATGCCAAAAGAGGCTAAGATAGGTGTTTAGCATTCCAAAAACATTTTAGTGATTCCCAATAGCCTCATGGAATCGCTCATATAGGACCACTGATGCATACACCAGAACAGGAACACAACTAATCAGGAAGTTACAGGAATATAAGAATTATACATCGCAAATTTGAATATATGTACAAGCAAGAACGTAATTGGAACATGGAGGAGATAAGAAAGTAAGATACAGTTACTGAAGAGGAAATATCAAAAATTTGAAAGGCCCTGCAAGATGTACCAATTTGTCAGCTGTTTTTGCTGTGTCCTTACGAGAGTGAACAAAAATCATTGCTTGATGACCATGCCTCAACGAATCAACTACCTGAAACAATCACATCTCAAATGTGACAGATTCCGATGCTAATTACTACGATAGATATGCAACAAATGACAAATATACCTTCTTATAACAAACTTCATTTTGCAGGTCATTGCGAGCTGCGAAATTCTGCTCACTGATTCCAATATATTGTTGAGCTAGAGGCACAGGACGGTAACTAGAATCAAAGAAGAAAAGACCTGCTTCTGGATTAACTCTGAGAAACTGAGCAACCTGGGAGATATTCAAGGACATAGAACTCAAAACAAAGAAGATTAGCCACAAACTAATAACATCAAGCATTACAGTATTTGGAAAAACCTCCATATAATTAGGTAGAGTGGCTGAAAGTCCCACGATGCGAATCATCGTCTGTGTTGACTCCACCTGTTACAGCAAAATTAGAACCACGAAGAATGAAAACAATGATTATTCAGTTTCAGATCCGGCAGAGATGCCAATCAAAATAACTAGGCAGACAAACAATCGAGTTGACACTTTCAACTCCATAGTTATAGAAGAAAAAAACAGACATCTACATAGCATATAGGCAATTGGTAGCTGATCACAGTGCTACACACACTAGTTGAGAAAAAAATTTCCATCTTCATAATAAATTGTTGGTGTAAAGTGTTCACCTGACGCAGAGTCCTGGCCACCAGGGCCTCTATTACAGGTCCTCTATCATCATTCAGAAGATGCACTTCGTCAATGATCAAGAGTTTCACAAGCATTGAAAGTGACATGTCACTGCTCTTACGAGTAATGACATCCCACTTCTCTGGAGTAGTCACTATCATCTGGTTCAGGAAAAAATAATTGTGGGAATATTATTCATAGCACTATGGTACAATTCATCGATAAGCACACAGCAAAAATACACAACCTGTGTTTCTTCCAGTTCATTCTTTGAAAGTTGCATGTCCCCGGTGAGTTCTCTCACGGTCATATTAAGTGGAGATAAACGACAGCTAAATGTTGATGTGACCTCTGCAGCTAAAGCCTAAAAAAACCGTAAGAAGTAAGAAATTTAATAAAATAACCCCATCCTCTCCAGAAATATGTCCTGGTGGGTGAGCAAGCGTCTGCTTTTCAATGGTTCTGAACTTATACCTTCATAGGGGCAACATAAACTATTTTGAATTCATTCTTATGCAAGTAGCCATCCTTGAAATGCTGCCTTATCTGGCCAAAGGTAAGTAAATAAAACAGTAGATGAAATTGACCATTGAGGATAAGGTAGGAATATAGTTCGATAGAGGGATAAGGATTGCACATGGAGATAAACACTAAAGGCATACTACAGATATATCAGGTTCTGCACATATTATATCATTCAAGTTTGACCCAGAGGCCATGAATTTTAGATGGGAAATCATTTCAGAGTATGCGTCAAGATAGACTTTCCTTACAAAAGAGCCAAGTACTGCGATTTCCTCCCAAGGTGAGAAGGGTTATCATTGTATCCGAGAACATATATTTCTGCGCATCGTTGAATCACATTTGTTTTATGGTCTCCTTTTTCTTCTTACTATTCTTTATTTTGCAATTGCTAGAGTGGGTCTTTTCCATTATAGTTCAACAACAATAAATCACAAAGATCATCAATGGCATTGGCAAATAAAGATGTCCAGACAAGACCTAGTGACAACAGTACCAAACAGCAAACATGATTGGTACAGCTATCTGAAAAAGCCAATATCACATTCGAGAGTTGTCAATAGCAGTGAAGAATTTTTCCAATCACATATATTGATAAACATATATCTAGCAAGTACAGAAAGGTGAGTCCTTTTCCATCTAATACCAAACACATATATTGATAATCATTGCCAAACTAAAAAAATGAGAGAATGAAAAGAGAAAGGACCGAGGTCGGATAAAACAAAGTTAGGAGTTTCAACACCAGAGCCTACAGGACAATAGTGGAGTTCCATCTCAATTCTCAAAGAGGAAACTTAAGAATTCACCGATTTTTTACCTCATGCAGAATTGATATCATAGCTATATTTGTTTTGCCAGCGCCTGTTGGTGCACAAACCTGCAGATCCATAAAGTTTTAAACATCCTGAATGAATCATTTGCAGTTTGCACCAATGCATCAATTGTCACACTGAATATTTGTATAGGTCTTCATTTACGCCATTGTGATTGAAAACAAGCATTAACACGAAGAAATCACTCACTAGTATATTTTCATTTGTCTGGTACACAGTTTGATATATCCTGCTCTGAATTCGGTTCAAAGATTTGTAACCTAGGAAAGCTGCTTGAGCAAAATCATCAAGCTCTTTTATCTCAATCTGTAAACATCCATATGCAAACAGGTATTATGAGGAAACAAAAACCCAACCAGCATGAGGTCAGAGCAAGGAAAACATTCATAATAGAATGTTTCCCACAGCCTAAGAGATGTATCATTGATTCAGAATAGTTCATGGTTTGTGTAAAAGTTCAATGAGTTTGTTATGTTCATCCAATAAAAGAGGAACAAAGTTTATGCAGTTTCTGAACAGAATAATGCAAACACGATTTAACTATGGCCTAAGGAACTCCTGCTATCCTGCAAGCTGCCTTATTTCAAGAAAAAAACCACAACATCACCCAGCCCAAAGCCTCTCTTTGTATTAGGCTCATTCAGTTATACTGACAAGAGTCCCTTATGAACCAATCATACTAATGAAAACCCGGCAATCCACTTAGCAATTATGCTATCAAGTTCCACCAATAAGTGATCAAGTGAAATGAATTTGCCCAAGTCCATTGCAGAATTGACCATTTTAGGGTGTCAGCATGCATAAATGACAAAGGACATCAGATTCTGAGAAGTATCACAAAACATAGCTAGTGAGCCACGTTCTCCCAAATGAAAGAACATAGACAATAGCAGTTGACTATTAAATTTGAACTGAGAACAGGACTTTAGTCTCAATCATAAAGAAGCTATACATTTTAAAAAGACTGAGGAGGTATTCTCCATCAAGGAGAAGAGCATTAAACATGGATAACCCAGTACCATGACACTTTGTCTTAATTTGAGGTGCTCTAGCAAGCAAGGCAAATGATGCTGGAAAACAGTTTAGCCTGCTAAAGATGCATAAGCTAATCATTTATGTTTACTACAAATCTATCAACAGCATAGATTTTCCGAGTGGTACCAACATATCATATCCTTGTGCATTCCACCACAAATTGCAAATAAATTTTTACAGGAAAAAAAGCAACTTCCCCAACTCCTTCTCAGACTCAACCATATAAACAGACCTGAGCAATACGTTCTGAGGAATTTCAGTAATATCATCTAACTGCATAGAAGATTATCCTATTCAATCCTCTTGTCCCCATCTTCACTAAGTTTTCACATTCCTCTCAAGAACTATATACCACCTTAACACATTTATTATAGGAGATTTTTTACGAGTCAAAAAGAACATTAACATAGTTTTACCAGCTTTTCTCCAGGTTTCATGGCTGCAGTTGGTGTTGGTGGGATAATAACTTCCTCGTAGCCTTTGAAATGTTTCCTAACAGTACCTTGAGGCAGAGCAGTTATTGGCAACTGCTGGGTCCCAGCACCTGACCCGACCAGATCATCAAGTAGAGTTTTCCTCTCACTAGCCTCAAGTAAAGAAGAAAAGGTTGTAGCTGACGAATCATTGTCCCCATATTCTGCTCCACGTCTATGTCGTTTTTCCTCCTTACGACGGAGTTTATCAATTTGCTTTTCTGACTCTGTATGCACAGTCACCTAAAAGGGAAGCTAGATAGGTACTTTTGCACAAAGTTCCATCGGAGGAAAATCCATTTGCGAAGACAGATAAATAAAATTGAACAAGTCCTTTCGTACCTGGGTTCCATAACTAGGCATCCGTAATTGATTGTTTGAAGCCATTTTGTTTGATTTCAGTACTGAAAATCCATGCTGAATTGCACCAACAAGTTCTTTCCGGTGCTGAAAACAGGAAAAGCATTTCCAACTTATACCCACAATAAATAGTTGTAAAGTTACACGAGCCATGAAGAGGGTGAACACGAAAATCAGAAAAATCAACTCTAACGAATTAATTGCACAATTGTTTCCTAGTCTTGAACTTTATTTACAGGTCCAGTTTTCTACCGATAAAGAGCCATTCTTCAAAGATTAGGATAGCACTGCCTCAGCAAAATGAATACCACAAGCAACAGTTGTACCATCGGAAAGCAAATTAGATTAAATTAAAAAGTGGTACTTACAGCAATGCTTAAATTTAGTCGACCTGGAATATAGCTTAGCTAATACTTACTGAGATAAGATCTTGAACAATTTCAAATGCACCATCCCCGACAAGATCCAGTAAAACATCAGCTATCTGAAAGGGTAAACAGACAGATATCATGAATCTAGATTTCACTCATGTGGATGCAAACACATAAAGATGATCAGGAGAAAAGTAATCAACCAGTACCTCCTCACCAGGTCTGTCAGAATCTAATACACGACATATTGCCATTGCCAGATCATCTCTGGAAAGCTGTGAGGTACTTTCACAAACTATCCGGTCACATGCGTTTCTTAACCAACTTAAGTTAAAGTTGCCACCACGAGCAGAATGATTTGTTCCATTGTCTCTATGGTCATGCCATATATCATGCACTGGATAAGTGGTTGGGGCGCTTTCCTCACCCAACAACTCTCCATCGTCTAAAGTGACATCCACCAAAAACCTAGATGGGGCTTGAAAGAAAAGCTCATTTCCAAACTCAAGGTCACTTTCAGACCCATCCACATGACTTTCGGGTGCATACGCAATGCCATCATTGCAAGGTTGCAAGCCATATAGTCTCCTTGCTAGAGCAGCAACCTTCTGCAGAATACCCTCGGGAATTGCATGACCAATGAGTTGCTCCAACTCGGACCTGCATTCAGGAAGTGAGTGGAAAAAATGTTCATATGTACATCAGAGTATCCATTTCTGGCAAGTAAACATAGACTTTAGAGCTCATTTAACTGTGTAACTCAATCTGCAGAAGATAGTACACAGCAACGAATCCAACATCGATCTCTAACATCTAGAAGGTAATCTATACAAAAAGTTTGATGTGGCAATGTTTTGGTGTTTGCAAGCAGCAAGGTTTAATGCTGAATAGAAGATCTCCCAGTATATCTTTCACAGCAAAGCATCAAATAGCTAAGCAATCAATATTAAAGACTGAGCGAGACCAAACATTTAGTAAAATGGGATTCCACCCTTACTTCGTCCTCTTAGAACTGCTGCTGGAATCCTCTTCCTCTCCTGGCCTTGGGAATGCAAAGAGACGGTAAGCTGTCGATGCCACCTCCCTAAAATCCTCAGAAGGAACTTCCGCATCAATCAGTTCCACCACAGAACCAATAAATTGTTTGTATACTTGTCGCACTTCTGCTGATGCTGCAAAGACCAATTGCAAGGACCTCGTTAGAGTTCAGTCGGTCGACAAACTCCAACACAACATCTCAAAATCATGCCACGTTCAGCAAATTTTCACCAAGCATACCTTCATCCCATCCATGAACTATCTTCCTGGCAAGATCCGACTCATTCAGGGAGTTCCCTTCTCTAGGGGGAATCAGGAAAAAAAAAAAACGTTCAAAAGCCATAGAAGCAAAGTCAGTCATAGTAAGCAAGTGGCTCAAGTGTCAGCGCTCGCCTAGTAAAGTAAGATCGAACACCACGACTACCGTACTCTATAAAATACTCAATCCAGTTCCTCGAGTCTAGAATTTCCCTTTTTCCTTAGTTTCCCACCAGAGAAACTCAACGGCCGCTTCCACAATATATTGTTCCCACCCAACCAAACAGAGATTAAAGGATGGAAAGCCAAAAGAAGAGGAGAGAATTAGTATAACCTGCGAGGCTTGAGATGGTTTTGGAGGATGATTTTGCGGTGGAGATAGGCCTGGTCTACGTCGAATGGATCCCTCAGAGAATTCGTCAAGCGCGGAATTTGCAGCAACATGCCTTTGGACCTTCTTTTTCTTTAATTTTGATTGCGTCCAATGATGATGTAGCCGCAGCACGCCAACCAAAGGGAAGTGATGCTCAGCCGCTGCGGAAGCCTGGTGCGAGGAAGAAGAATAGAACCGAAGTTACAGAGCTTCCTTGTCTACTCCCTCTAACCAGTCCTCTCTTTGTTATTTTCTTCCGCTAAAAACCCAGTCTTCCGTTTTACGTGTCGGGCAAGGGTCAATGGAAAGGTAGACAAACCGGTTTTGTACCTTTTTTCGGTTTAGCAAGTGAATGATTCGACGAGTACCTGGATGGCATGCCATCAGCATGACAATCATGATCCAGGGCATTGTTGTAATGTCGCCGCAATGTTGGCATGTAGAATCAAGCTCAACTAGTACTCGACCTAGAATACTCTGGCATGATTTGTATAATCGATTTTTGTTCTTTAAACAAAATGACATCATTTTGATAAATTTAATTGATAAAAACTAGCTTTTGATTTGTTAAGTATTGATACTATTTGTTGATTCAAGAATAAACTTCAAATATGTTATTATTATTATTATTATTATTATTATTATTTTATATGTATTATATATATATATATATATATATATGGTGGCTTCTATGGTACCCCGAGTGAAATCCGGGGTACCGCATACCTCGAGTATGGAAACTCTATCTAGACCTCGAATTACCAGGATTTTTGTGTGATATTATACCCTAACCTTTAATGAGTGAACCCTAGGTCATAATTATCTAAATCATAATCTATAAACCCTAAGATGTTGCATTCCTTTTTGTGCCTATATTTGGATGAATCATAACCGTCGATTATTATTTCTAATTAAATTGATCTTGGAGTATAAGATTGGGAGAGTTAACACCTAGATTTTGATCTTTAAGTGTTAGAGTATAGTATCATGTCCGAAAGATCGGTCAATTCAAGGTCTAGATAGTGTTTTCATACTCAAGGTATGCAGTACCCCAGATTTCACCCAGGGTACCGTAGAACTCACCATATATATAGGTAAGACTGTCGTACGTCAAGCGTATACTATATGTCAGGTACTACTAGTGAGATATCTCTATCTAGACCATGAATTAAATCGAGTTTGGGGTATGATACTATACCCTAACCTTTAATAGATAAACCCCAAGCACCGATTTTCTAAACCCCAACCCGAGGTTTGATTTAACGAAAAACAAAAATTGACTGTTGAGATCGGCCAGAGCTCATCTAAGTACATCTAACGGTTAGATCACATGATGTATACTATACACCTGACGTACACCAGTCATTACCATATATGTGGGTCAGACTGACGCATATGTCAAGCGTATACTATACGTCAGGTACTACTAGTGAGATATCTCTATCTAGACCATGAATTAAATCGAGTTTGGGATATGATACTATACCCTAACCTCTAATTGATAAATTCCATGAACCAATTTTCCAAACCCCAACCCGAAGTTTGATTTAATGAAAAACAAAATTGACCGTGGAGATCGGTCGGAGCTCATCTAAATACATCTAATAGTTAGATCACCTACTATATACTATACACCTAACGTACACCAGTCATTACCATATATATGGGTCAGACTGGCGTACGTCAAGCGTATACTATACGCACGGTACTACTAGTGAGATATCTCTATCTAGACCATGAATTAAATCGAGTTTGAGGTATGATACTATACCCTAACCTCTAATGGATAAACCCGAGGCATCGATTTTCTAAACCCCAACCCGAAGTTTGATTTAATGAAAAACAAAAATTGATCGTTGAGATCGGCCGGAGCTCATCTAAGTACATCTAACGGTTAGATCACATGTTGTATACTATACGTCTGACGTACACCAGCCATTACCATATATATGAGTCAGACTGGCGTACGTCGGGCGTATACTATACGTCAGGTATTACTTGTGAGATATCTCTATCTAGACCATGAATTAAATCGAATTTGGGGTATGATACTATACCCTAACCTCTAATGGATAAACCCCAGACACCGATTTTCTAAACCCCAACTCGAAGTTTGATTTAATGAAAACAAAAATTGACCGTTGAGATCGTCCAGAGCTCATCTAAGTACATCTAACGGTTAGATCACTTGTTGTATACTATACGCCAGACGTACACCAGTCATTACCATATATATGGGTCAGACTGGTGTACGTCATGCATATACTATATGTTAGGTACTACTAGTGAGATATATTTATCTATACAATGAATCAAATCGACTTTGGGGTATGATACTATACCCTAACCTCTAATGGATAAACCCCAGGCACCGATTTTCTAACCCCCCAACCCGAAGTTTGATTTAATGAAAAACAAAAATTGACCGTTAAGATCGGCCGGAGCTCATCTAAGTACATCTAATGGTTAGATCACCTGCTGTATACTATATGTCTTACGTAAACCAGTCATTACCATATATATGGGTCAGACTGGCGTACGTCAGGCGTATACTATACGTCAGGTACTACTAGTGAGATATCTCTATCTAGACCACGAATTAAATCGAGTTTGGGGTATGTCCAAAGTCATTTAGGGTTAATGAGGGGTATTTCTAACACAGTGGTTATAGTGGTAACCATTTTAATTATAGGGGTCAAAACAGACCAGGCCCGTCCGACTAACTCGGCCGACCAACCCGACCCGCAACTCGAATTGACTAAAAGTCAACAACCCGTAACCTGCCCGACCCGCAACCCGATTTATCCGCAACTCTACTAACCCTCAACCCGACTTACCCGCAACCCGATTGACCCACAACCCGATTAACTCAAGACCGATTGACCCGAACCCGACTAACCTGCAACCCTACCGAGTCAACCCGAACTTCACCTAATCCACTTGAATAAGTGTTATATTACATAATACATAGTTTTTCAAAATAAAGTTTTTCATTCTAAACTTAGGTAAAATCATTTCTTCGTTTCATAGCGGAAATTTAAAAATATGAAACTCACTTCATATTATATATTTTCAGAAAATTACAAAAATTAAAACATGAAGGTCACTTGAACACTAAGTTCTTTAACAAAATTAAAAAAGTAATTATGAAATATAAAATCAGCATAATGTGAATATTAATAATTAATAATTGAGATCATGGACAATAACAATACAATATATAAATTAAATTTTTGGTTTATTTAACTATTCAATAAAGTTATCAATAAAGTAAAACAATATATTTGGTAATTTGTTGCTTTTAAAAAAAAAGAAAAATTTTGGTGTATTCAACTTTTTGATAAGAGAAAGAAGAGGGAATTTATATTTTATGAATTTTTTAGAAAAGAAAAAAGGGGATTTTTGGTGGTTTTGATTTGTGGAAAGTGAAGAAGTGGGAAAGTTTGGTTCTTTTGATTATTAGAGAAAAATTTTGAGTTTTCAACTTTTTGTGGAAAGAAGAAAGGAAGAGGAATATTTGGTTCTTCAAATGGAAGAGAAAGAGGAGGAAAACTTGGTTCTTTCAATTTTATGGAAGAGAAAAATGAGGAAAAATTGAGTGTTTCTAATTCATGGAAGGAGAAAGAAGGAGGAGAATTTTAGTATTTTAATTTTTTTTTGTGAAAAAGAAAGAAGAAAACAAATTTGGTGTTTACAACAATAATTTATTTTAGAAAAATTCACTTAATTTGTCTACTTGTTTTCTATACTTCTACATTTATTGCAATTTCAACACTACATGATCGTTATTTTACAACACTTAGTAAAATTTTCGCACATTTAAGTTGTGTTCAAGTTGAACTTTCATTTCAAAATGGGTGTTAAACTTGGCATGTTAAGCCTTACGATTGCAATAACTAAGTCGGGTTGCGGGTCACTTTGGAATGGAAAATGAGAGGGAGGTTTGGATGGGAACTTTGGAATTGAAAATTTATGGGCGGGTGAATATGAGCCAACAATTATACTAAACTTGATAAGTAATTTTTGACGGGTCACTATTTAGGATATAAAGTATATGGTTAATGTATAAGATATAAGGTACAGATGGTTTAGGGTGTATATGGTTAGGGTATAAGGTATTGATGGTTTTGATGGTTCTAAGATTTTTATTAACATATGTTCACTTGAAGTCATTTAAAATCTTTAACGGTAGGAGATCCTTTTTTAATTTATGTTTATGGTACGTGGTTAGGGTATAGGGTATATGGTGTAGAGTATATGATATATGGTTAGGGTATAGTAAATATCACTTTTTTATCTATGTTTCGAAAATCAAAGTATAATTTCACTTTAAATTAACTATGCTAGCAAAATCACAGCGCATAGGGATATATGGTTAGGGTATGTTGTTAGTGTATAATATATTAATTGTATAGGGTATACGATCAACAACATATATTAACTTAATATTGTCGATTGAGAGTAAGGCTAAGTGTATAAGATATATGTTATTGAGTAAGTTATGATTGAAGTCACAACAATTTTACTAAATTTGATAGTTAATCTTTAATGGTTCAATTTTTAGGGTAATTCGAATAATTTTACAAATAACTTGTTTGGCAACAGTTTACTGAAGTTATTAGTGCAATGAGTTATTTCGAAATAACTCCTTTTTACCACTCTGCTTTTGTCAAATACCACACGCCAAATACCAGATTTGCATGGTTATACTAAACGAGATACTTTAATCCAATTACTATAGAAATAATATTAAAATACCAAATAAATAATTAATGGTATCTTTTGGTTGCAAATGTTGATATAACCATTACTATTAGCTAGTGTACTTTACCAATTACGATTAATTACATAACAAGTTTGAAAGTCATATAAATTGATTCAACATTTTGACTAGTTTTTTTAAAATTAAGTATATAAACAAGGTAGAAAGGAATTGGTTAAAAATTGAGAAAAATATTTTAAATTAGTGTAATAAAATGCGTAAGTTGGTAACGAGTAAGAAGTAAGTTACACGATGCGCTGACACGAACAACCCGCAACCCGATCCGCCCGCAACCCGCCCGACCCTAAA